AGGGAAAGGGACCAACAGAAAAGTGAACACTTGAACAGATCATCTCTGAGCCCTCTGCAAAGTCATCTGCCATCCCCCTGAGGTTGAACATTTCCTCTACCCTGAAATTTTAAGGAATGCCTGAGACTGCTCTTCTGTGAGCAGCTGAGGTTGCTCTAACAGCCTGCTGCCTCTGAAAGGAGTGTTCTTATCCCTCTCCCACTCATTTCAGGGCTGGCACTGGCTCTTGCGTGTGCAATTCTGGCCCCTCCTTTGCACCAGCTCTGGTGCTCATCAGTCTTTCTGAGAATTATTTTTCACTCGTTATCCCAGAAGACAGCCACCCACTTTCTTTTTCTTAGTTGTTTTCATTTGTGCTAACCAGTTCCGTCAACTGATGGAGCTGGCTTGCAGCACCAAAACCCACAGGGAAGGGTAGGGATGGGTGGCAGGGAGCAGAGCACGGGCATGCAGAGATGGACCTTTTGGCAGGGGTGACCTAGCTCAACACATGCTGTGGAGGTTTATCCTTGTGGTGGCACTTCGTGCCACAGTTCAGCTGCCACTAACAGTGTCCTGCCACCAGCAATGGCTGTCCAGTGCTTTCCTTGAGCTGGTGCTGGCTCTCAGCAAACTCCATGGTGAGCGAGCCAGGAAGTTTAACTGAACAGGCAATTTATTGCTACAGAAAGAATGAGTACCTTTTTTCCAGACTTTATCTCCTGAAGCAGCTAGCTGTGGGGTTGGAAAAGAGCCAGGCCACCACAATTGAGCATACAAGAAAAGCAATTGTGGACTGGACGGGGAAACAGAGCTCTGCCCAGCACTATCTCCAGTAAGCCTGCACAACCGCTTCACCTCTAGCTGCCCTCAGTCCTGCTTCCCAAGGGAAACTTACAATATACTTTCAAAAGATGAACCTGGAAACTGAAATGATCAATGCTATGGAGATTAATGATTACAAACTCAATATATGCATCTTGGAGGAGCAATGAAATTCACCTCCCCTTTCAGTGTGCCACAGGGGCTGTCACCCCATTGCTACTCCCCTTGCCAGCAGCCTCGCGGCCCCACAGGCGCGGACTGTGGGGCTGATGGAGCAAGAGTTGACTGAAGAAGGTCAGGGCAGGGCAGCTGTCTCCACCCAGGCTCCCCCCGAGCTTTGCTCAGGGCTAAACAGGAGGCTGCAGAAATGCGGTCTTTCTTCATAAGCAGGTTCATTCATCTATTAGGAACATTGCCTTACCTCTGTGTGTGTAATCAGTGAGGCAATGTTTAACGAAGAGCCTTGGAAGGTGCAGAAAGCAGAGTTTGCCATCAAGAGCAGATATAATAGACAGATGTGTGATTGAGTTAGAGATCTAGCTCTGAGCACAATATTTAGGGGTAAGTGGGTAAGGATGGGCACCCCATTTGCATGGCTGGACCAGGACCTTTTTTTGGTGCAGATTTGCTGCTTGACCACAGACTTTAGAAGAAAATACCTTTATTTTTATTTCTTAATGTGATGAATACACTAGCTTGAGGGTGAAAGAGCTGTGGCTCGATACTGTGCCTAAAGCCTGGACTTGCTGCTCTCAGTGTTGCAACATTAAGTTTGAGATGGATACAATTTTCTGAAGACATTTTTACAGGTGCAGGAGGAGACTGAACCTCCTTAAAGGCAGATGTGTATGTGACTCTTCCCCAGGAAGCAATTATGGTCTGAAGTGTTAATCTGTGCAGCCAGAAGGGGGAGGTCTCAAACCTGTGTATCGTATTTAAAATAGATTAAAAACATTTTAGCATTTTAAATGTTAATGATGCAACAAAAAGCTTTTTGTTCATATCTAGAAGTTATAGTAATGACTGAGTGTATGAAACCATTCATAAGCTGCTCTTGTGGACAGAGTTTCATTATCAAACAAAGGCTGTCAAATATTATCAGCCAGCACCTCCTGCCTTCTTCCCTACTCATCTCCCAAATCAGGACTAACTTAAATAGAATGCATTAAAAAGTAACATTGGGCTCTCATCATCTGCCTTCTGATTTTTGAACACTTAAGTTACATGTTTTCAATGTTCCTTACAACTACAACGGCTGCAGTGACTCTAACAGACTCAGAGAGCTGAATTTTAAAAGAAGTACCATATTTCCAAGAAAAACAGTCAGCCCCACTGGCTTCTGCCTTATAATTAGCCTAAGCAGGTCTCAGAGATCTTCCCTTCCTACCACCATCTCACCCAGATCCTATCTTTCTGGGTTCAGAGCATTTATAGCTCCTCATCTCAGCAGAGGTGGCAGTGCAACATGTGACGCCACGTCCTGCATCCGAACAAACCCAGCCACCTGTCCTCTTTCCCACACACAGCCAACAGAGCTGCGTAACACTGATGAGAGGGTCTTGGCAATGGTATTTTCAGGCATTGCAGGTGCTTGTCATCTTGAGGCAGTAACTTCTAGTTACCTACAGCAGCAGGCAGTTGGCACAGTTCATGGCATGTGGGATGCATAGGGGATGCCCTTCCTGGCCAGGTGCCTTCCGCGGTAAGTGTCTGTAAGAAGGAGGTCCTGCATCCAGCATAGTGATTCCCTGTCTCTGTTTATAGTCTGCTTCATGGCCTGGGACCTTTTTCTACCCCATAGCTCTCTTACTCGGGGCTTCTCTCTGGGCTTCTCCCAGACTGAGCTCCAGACAAACTGGTCCAGCAAATAGGGTATATAAAGGCTAGCAGAGAAGAGGGGGGACATGATGTCGGTTCCCTAAAACCTCTTATAATTGTCTTATTATTACACTACTTATAATAAAGTAGTGTTAAGAAACTGCCTTGCCTTCCAGTAGCTGTTAGAGCCAAGCAAGCAGGCAGAAAAGAAAGGATAGCCACTGGGCTCACATGCACACGCTCACAGCAGCCAGCCCTTGGTCCTATCACACCCTGCTCCTGAGGAGGAGATGGCGGCAGAGCAGAGGCACTCTACAAGCCTTGAGTTGTGGTTCCCTTCTCTACCATGGGCAAAGAGCAGAGAAAGGAGCTCTGGGCTGCCTGCCCACCATACCACCATGGGTTTCCTCCTCAAAGAGGTAGCAGGTTTTGCCTGTGGGACAAAGTCAGGAAGATTAAGGACTGAAGTACTGTGGGGCACTAGCAGCACCTATTTCTTGGTCTGTGCTGGAGGGAGGGAGATTTATCTTGGAAGGTAGAAAGCAACATGACAGGAATGAGATTGGTTCCACCTGCCCCCAGGTGATAATCTCCAAATCCATGGTGTTGGCTGCCCTGATGACTGTGACCAAGACACAGTTAGGGGGCTAGTTAGTGGAGGCTTGACCTCCCCAACCCCTGAGACAGCTGGAGTAAGAAGTAGAAAGTCATAGTTATAAGGTGCGAGAGAGTCAAGAGGATGGGATGAACCGATGAGAAGTGCCTGATTATAGGTAAATGGTCCTGAAAGGACAGAAAATATGGTAGGATTAGGCCAGAGGTGAAGGGTTTAGGGAGGAGCTGGCATGGAGGGGACCAGTGGGGCAGAGTTATAACTTTATTATTATCTTTGCCCTCTGAGGCCCATAATTAACACACACAGGGAGTTTACACGTGGTCTGCTGTGCCAATGCAGCGCTGAACCTAGTAACCTGAGCTGCTATATCATTCCAAAGCTTGTCTAACTCAAGAGGGCTGTCTAGGCAAGGACCGCCAGAAAGCTCCAGGATCCTCCTTGCTTCTGCATAGGTATCCCCAAAGCCAGAGGTGATTTCCCTGCTGGGGTCAGAGCATGTCTGAGGTGAGAACACTTAGTGGGTGCTAAACCCAGAGGTCTGGGTTGTCTCAGTCTCCCTTGGAGTGATGTTTTGGATGCACTAGGCCTGCTGCAGCCTTTCCTGTTGCTGCTAGGGAACTTGCAAGCTGAGATGCCTGTGTAAAAACTGTCCTTAGCAGAAGCTGCCCTGGGAGGTTGGCTGTCTCCCCTCATCCTGCCGGCTGCTGCCTCATGGTAGGCAAATGCTGTGGCAGGGGTGTTATGCAGGAATTGCTGCTGTGACATGTAGTGTTGTAGCAGAGGCCCATGCATCAGGCCTTAAAGAGAGATTCCCTAGGAGCAGAAATTTTACTGTCTTGGGAATACCCTGGGTATGGTGTTACAGGGGCTGGGAACTACCACTGGCTGTCCTCACAAGGTTTGGGACCATTCATTGCCAGCAGCCCCTTATAGGACGGGTGACACGGTCCTCTGCGCTTTTCCTTTGAGGGCAGGGAGGTTGGTAAGCTGAGCACCAGCCACCTCTCCTCTCTTGCCATGACAGGACATGAGTTCTCCATTCCCTCACCCCCTTTCTTTCCCTCACTACCCTCCTTGGTGGCAGTAAGGCTGGCCTGTCTGGTTGTCTGCTGCCTTGCTGGGGCCCATGGGATATCCCCATGGAGGATATGGTGCTCTAGCCAGCACTGCAGCTCTGCCCACAACATGCAGCGTTGATGCTGGGGTTAGCTCAGGACCTTTTGGCTGCCAGAACGACAGGGAGGGATGTCGATGTGCAGGTGTAGTTTCTCTGTCCTGTCCTCGTTGCTGATGAGTGCTCAGAACAGGCCTGTGGAGCTGAGGGGAGTGAGGACGATGGGGGTATCTGGAGGGGTGAGGATGGGTGCTGTGTCCAGTGTGGTTTCATCAGCCTCTCTCTCCACATCATCCAAGCTGTCACTGACAGAGGGGATGATCCGCACCACCTTATCCTGGAAGTGCACTTGCTTGCGTGGGGCTGGTAGGGGTGCTGGTATGGCTGGAGGTGCCTGGGCCAGGCTCTTGTCCTTGCTGCCCTTCAAGATGCTCTTCATGTGGCCGAGCAGTGAGCGGTGCTGCTCCCTTTGGGCCCCGTGGAAGGTGTAGGTCTGCTCAGTGTCACCGGCGCTGGTTGGGGCTGCCATGGTGCCTGAAGGGTCCATGTATTGGCCCACTTGGGGTTGTATCTCTTTATGCCCCGGGCTCTTCCTCCTCTTGCTCAGCAGGCTTCATGTGGCCGAGCAGTGAGCGGTGCTGCTCCCTTTGGGCCCCGTGGAAGGTGTAGGTCTGCTCAGTGTCACCGGCGCTGGTTGGGGCTGCCATGGTGCCTGAAGGGTCCATGTATTGGCCCACTTGGGGTTGTATCTCTTTATGCCCCGGGCTCTTCCTCATCTTGCTCAGCAGGAAGTACGCCAGGGCGGTGAGCACCAGCATGGAACCTGGGGAAGAGTGGCACGTTAGCTGAGGGCTGGGGCAAGGAGAAGAGCTAGCCAAGCAGTGCCAGAAAGGCACAGCATTTAGTCCAGCTAGCTCAGTGTCCCCCACAACTGGCCTGGCACTCCACACATTCCCACCATTTCTGGATCTGCCAGTCTGGTGCCCTAACATACACCATGCTCCTCTTGCATCTGCTCAAGCCCCCACCCCAGCATGGGCTCCTCACCAGGGATGGTGACGTGCCAGACAAGGACGGGATGCAGGAAGCAAGCCACCGAGAGCAGCATGTACCCCATGAATTTCTGGAAGCTTCCTGGGCGTCTAGCTTGCTTGCAGCAGGTGTGTGCCAGGGAGCCTGGCTCATATCTGGGGAGAGAGACAGAGGCCCTTGTGGGCTGGGGCACCAAGCCCGTGGCAAGAAGATTCAGACCTCACCCACACCCATCTAGAGGTTCAGATCCCCACTCCAGTTTGTCAGAAAACTAGTACGTTGGTTGATGAAGGCAAGTAATGCCTGAGCCTCCCTCATGGTGGGTAGAGGCCCTGGGCTACCTCTGCCAGAGGTCAGCATCTCAGGAGATCTCTCCTTGGCATGTTTGCCTGCCTGGCCATAAGCAGGGTACCTGTTAGCTGAAGTAGGGTGCTGCCTCTTCAGCTATCAGGGGCTTTTGACTTTTTGCTAAAAGAGACCAGAAATTCTCAGGCTCTGAGAAGTACCTAAGAAGGTTCTACATCTTGGCTGGGATATTTGTGCAGTTTCTGGAAGGGGGTATAGCTCATCCTGGGGATCTGGACCTCTGGTCCTATCCAGGACTTCACACTGCATGTTAAAGGGATGCTGCAGACCAAGGTCTGTTTTGTTGATGCTCAGCAAATTGTGACACAAGCTTGAATTGAAACACAGGTTTAATTGGGTGTGGGCACAGCCCCACTAACCTCCTCCCTGCCTGAGAGCACATGCCATGGGAGTAAGGCCAGTACCTTTGCTTTGGTACTTACAACTCGGCTAGGTCTGATGTTGCCTGTAAGGGACAGGTTGCCTTAGGCAGATCCCACCAAGGCTGGAGAAAACTGGATAGGGTCTACTCACGTGAAGCACATCCCCAGGAACAAAGCGATAAAGAAGAAGCCTTCGCAGACAGTAACTGCAGCCCCTGAAAAACTGAAAGGTGGAGGTGTCAAAGGGGCAAGCTAGAGTATCCTCTCCAGATGGTAGAAGGGGCATAGAGGGCCAGGATCTACTGTCCAGTTCACAACACAGTCTGTGTGCTGGGGTCTGAACACCCTCTGCCCAACTGGTTTCAGGAAGAGATCGCAAAGCTTTTCTGCCTGTGGGGATCAGTTTGCAGCCACTGTCAACTCTGACCTGCCTGAACTTGCAGGTAGGATGGGGAGAGGAGCACTTTCTCTAACAGAAAGAGCTCACTTTTCTGACACCTGAAGATGGATTTCCAAATTCCCCAAAGTCTTGGATATTGGTCCTTGCTGCTGTTGCAGTCTACATATGCTGTTGCTGGTGCTATATATAGTGCAGGCGTGGAACGTGTCGGCCCCCCAAGCTCTTACACCAAGGGCAAAAATACTCACAGCAGATAGAAAGCCAGGCTTTTGAACTGTCCTCGCTGCAGAGTTTCTACGCCCACACCGATCAGTACTAGAAAGAGAAGGCAGGAAATATGTTGACTGCAGGTTTAGTTCCCACCTCTCGTGTGCCCCGTTATCTCCTAGGATCTGTGCCTCAGTTTCTGCACATGGCCGGTAAGCCTGCTCCTCCCATGTTGTGCAGCACGTTAGGACTGCCAGCACCAGTGATTCTTGCTGACACATGAATCCAGGGGGACCAGAGCTGAATGCCAGCCTTGACAGACAGCCCAGAAAGTCATCTCAGTTTCATTTCCATCACTGCAGCCTTACCACTGCGTAGGCTGGGGGGAGGCGCTTTGAAGATACCAGCTGGCCTTGGACAGTGGGAGCGGTGAGCAGCAGTGTGTCAGTGTCCTTCGCACCCCTCCAGCAGTGCTGCCACAGGGCTTCCCTTCTACCGCCCTGCCCGGCTCTGCCCCTTGCCCCATGCACTTCTCCCAGCCTAGGGGGAATTCAGGCCCACACTGACACCTTTGCCCAGTGTCTTTTCAGGTCATGTCAGTCCCACTTTCCTGGCCCTCCTGGGCCTCCTACCTTGCCCAGGCCTGTTGAACCCAATATGTTGCCATAGAGCAACAGCATGATGGGGGAAACGTGCCAGGTGCATTAATGAAGGGCTGTAGCCATGGCATTAAGATCACTTACTAGCTTAACAGAGAAAAACAAAAAAAACCATAAAATGGGAGCAGGCAGATTAAGAAGAGGCAATGAACATCCCCTCAGTTCCCCAGGCAGCGCAGCACACTGGGTACTCAGAGGCTAAGGGGGATTAAGAGTATTAGTGAGGCAAAATCTTACTGGGGCTGGCAGTTGGGGGCCTATAGCTTCACTGAATGGAAAATTTCCCTTGACATCCTTCCACTCCCCACAGGGTTGTTTCCAAAATGGCAAAGAAGTGAAGTTTCTCACCCCTGCTGCAGCATGTGCTGTGGAAAGAGAGGTTTGGAGCCCAGGTGGTCATGGTGCCCGAGTGCCAGCAGCACGGGGCTGGATGGAGCCATGCATTTCATGCAGGGCTCGTGCCTCGGCCGGAGGATCGTTCTAGGTAGTCATGACCCTCTTTATGCCATTAGCGTATCTACATCTTGCTAAGCAAATCAGTTGGAGTTCTATGTCCGTGGTGTCCATGCTTGCATGAGATATGAGTCTTGAGATACTGGTTGGATTTGTGGCTGTTTATCTGAGTTGTGGCTTTGTTCTGGACTCAGAAGGGCACCAACCTCACGAATAAGGAAGTAGGTCCCAGTGATGCTGGCTCCATTAGAGCCATGAGATGGGTCAACGACAAGTGTTTGTGCCTGAACATACAGTGCTTCTGAACTCAGCGCGCAAAGCCAGGCCTGAAGGAGAGCCTCACGTGCTTCTGCTTCACTTAGCCTTGCTGAAGTGACACTGACAGGCCGAGCCTGCTCTGGGAGCAAAGCTCTCCCTCTCTCCTCCCTCTAGCCTGCTTGAGCCAAGCTCTGGCACTAGGTTCTCCTGCTGGCCACCACTGCTGGGGCTTACCACTGCACCCACTGCCCAGGCAGCACTGGCTTGGCCCTCCAAGGCAGGGCAGATTATTCTCCTGCCACCTGCCAGGACCAGGACCCTGTGGTCTCACTTAGTGGATGCTGGTCCCTCATCAGCTGGGGAAATGACTGGGCCCACACTCCAGCCTCCTCCTTGGGGGCTGCCTCTCCAGCCCCAAGCAGAGGCATGGGGGAAATCAATCTCATGCTAGGTCTGTGAAGGGACACAGGACTTCCCCCCTCCCAGGCTGACAGCCTGGCCCCTTTCACCAAGCTGTGGTCCTACATACAAAGTATTGTCCTTTGCTGTTTCATGGCTGAACAGCCCTCTTTATAATCTTCCCTATAAATGCAGAATTCATTCATTCATTCTCTATAGATGAATGCAAAATTCAACAGCTCAGCTCTTATGCTTGAGTCTCTCCTCTGGATGGGGAGGTTTCCTGATTTTGCACAGCTTCTGCTTTACCCACAAAGCTGTTTGGACGAAGTATCTGCAAAGGGCTCTTTCTGAGGTGTTTGTTTGGGCTAGTTGCTGCCTTGATTTGGATCTTATCCAAACCATGTGGCTAAAGGCACATGATTAGGAATTAAATGGTTGAGAGCATGAGAATTGAGAAATAACTAAGAACTCTCTCTCTCTAGATGCAGAAATCACAAGGCCTACAGTCTATGAACTATAGAGATGTCCCAGACACTGATATGAGTTGCAAGGCTGTCACTCATCAACAACTAGCCATGAGGCTCTGCCAATAGTAGGACCAATTTCTTGCATGCAGTAAACCTTATAGTCCCACCATTGCAGACAGCCAGTAGATTCAAAGATCAGGGTAGGGGGGGAGGTGGTTATATTATGTGGGTAACTTTTTCTGTTTGTGAACAGCTTGAGGAATTGGCCAGGCCTTCTCAGAATCAATTAGTGAGACTGAAGCATTCTCCTCTCTCTTTCATGATTTTTTTTTCAAACAAAGCCCATAGGATTCTTTTCTGCATGATCTCCATTTAATGGAAAAACCTCACACACCTCATAATGCACTAAACGCTGCATCGAGCTATTTTCTTACTCCATTGAGACACTTAGAGGAATAATATACAGGCACCTCCCACTCCTTCCTTAGCCTTTTGGGAAAGTGAGGTGATAGTGGGAATGCATCAGAGTCAAGAAATGGAAAAGTACAGAGATTAGTGGTGCAGCTGTGTATGTTCTGGGATGCTCGACTGAGAGATGAGTGCACTGCTAATATCAAGAAAAACAATAGGTGCAGATGATGCAGAATGAAGAAAAGAGTGTAAGCAGAAGGGGAGATTATATTCCATTAAGACATTTCCAAATTGTAAGCTGCTTTCAATTTTACTGTTTTAGCTTTAGTTTTCCCATGACAACAAGCTCACGTTTTCTCCCAGGAAGGTCTCTGTGAGCTTCCCTGGAGCATTAAGAGAGAATCTGGCCATTACGGGGCACCTGTAGCCCTGAGGGGAATGGGGAGGAGAAAGGAAGAGATTTGCATTTACTGGTTAAAAGCTATGCCCCAGCTGCTATCTGTTGCAGTCTCATCATGATACGCACTTATCTAGTGGGAGTTTGGATAAACTCAGACAGTCAAATCTCTACCTGTTGATAGTCCTTTCAAGCACATTCCAGAGCACAGCCTCCAGCTTCCTCACTGGGCTCTGGGTGTCCTTGGAGACCTGTCTCTCTGCAGCTGACTTGCACGCTTTTTACTTTACTCCTGACTTGAGCAAAGCGTCTCTCAGGGTCAACCGCACTGATAAAGGAAATTCCAAGGTATGGGCTTGCTGCGACCTGCTCTGCAGTGTCTGAAATCCACAGGGGTCTGCCATGGGAACCACAGGCACCAGCTTAAGACCTTTCATCAGAAAACTTTGGTTCACAACTTCAGCCTTTAGAAAAATCGGATACTTTGATCTCTGCTTTACTGATGGGGGAAACTGAGGCCTGGAGGGCAGGCTACCCTGCCCCATGGCAGTGAGCCAGCAGCAGTGCCAGGGTGAGTCTGTGAATACGGTGGGCTGCCCATAGCCTCTGCATGAGCTATTTTCCTACATCCCCATTTGGAGATGTTTCATGTGAGATGGTTATTCTCCACAGTTCAGTATTTCTGGGTGAGACATTGTGCCTGGGACAGCCAGTGCAAAACGTCAGCACTTCACCTGAGACCAAATGCTCCAGTATGTCAGCATACTATGGGTGGTTGGTCCCAAGCAGCCCCTGACACTGGGGGAGAGGAGGTAGCTAACCAGGTGGGTGAATTTATGATGTTTGTACTGCAGCTCTAACATTAGCTGTTCCCTGAATCTGCTTCCTGACAGATTACGAGAAAGGTGGAGAAGCACTTTTGCAGCAACTGTTCTGTGAGAGCTGTGGGTGTCTTGATCCTGTTTGGCATAGGACACCCTCACTGTGCACAGTGCAAGGAAATCTGTCATTTTCACATCCCTCAAAGCAGACTGGCACCCTTGTGTAGCCATGAGGATTTTACATTTCCATCCCAGTTCACATCGTGCCTGTCACCATGTCTGTTTTTGAACAATATAATTTAGTTTTCTTTTCCACTCATGCTTTAGCTTGTCTCCCCTCATACTGAGTGCTGACTCTGATGCCTCACAGTGCCTCTCACATCATCTGGGAAGAGCCTGGCCAGGCATCCAGCACTCCCCCTCCCTGGATCCCAAAGCAAATGTGAGCAGCAGTCCTTATCCCCTTTGTCAGATGGGGCAGTGATTGCTTTGGATCAAAGGCAGGGAGACAACTCAGGAGTCCCAATGCCTACTCGGTGCCTTTTAGTGGCAAAGGAAAAGAGAGCTAGCTCTTACCTGCTGCGGTGGAGATGCCCAGCAATCGGCAAGTATACTCCAGAGCAGTCCAAAACACCTTGTGCCGCATGGCGAAGAGGTGAAAACTTTGCGATGCCAACAGAAGTTTCCTCTTCAGACCTCCTGACTTACATGTAACCCAGCAGCTCCCAGCTGCAGGCAGAGCCCCCCATCCAAAGAACCAAGTGACCTCCCTGAAGGAAACGGCCGTGCGTGCAGGACACCTGGTCACCTCCACCGAGGCCTCTCAGGAGAGTGGCCAGAGACTGAGCTGCCACCGAGGAGAACTGGTCAGCACTGCCTCCTGCTGCGCCTGGGGCTGTGGAGAGTTGGCCTTTGCCTGGCTGTTTGCTGCTCGCTCGCGTTGCTGGCCCGCCGGTGATTAATGATTGGAAAGGGGGGTGGTGCGGCTTTGGGAGCCCTTGCACCCAGGATACACGGCCTTTCCTGCTCCTGAGGCAGGAGGCTCTGGAAGCCCAAGCTGATTAAAAGCATGTGAAGTCATTAATGCTCTGCAGCTCCCAGCAGGTTAACCATTTGTGAGGATGGCAATACGTGCTCTTGGCGAGAGTGCAGCACATTTCTGGTAGCTCTGCAGGGCTCCCAGAGCATCCCAGCCCTGCTGCTTCATGTCCCTGCCATGGCTGTTTGCTACTGTGCAGATTTTGCCAGGCTCCGACTCATACAGCCTGGGAACTGTCAGGGTAGATATGCAACCACAGGCACAAGGAGATCAGATTATTCCTGATGGCCAGAGCAGGGGAGCTGTGTACGTCTCTTCTTGGGAATCTCAGTAACATGTATTTCTGTACTGCAGTCACCTGGCCATTCACTGAGAACAGAGTCATTTATACAGTGTTGGGGTCACACAAGTGCCCTGACAAGGAGAGGGGTCAGAGGAGAAGGGCCGTGCGAATGCACTCTGAACCCTTTGCACTGATTTGGTGCACAGCTATGGGGCCTTAGCTTGTCCCTCCAAAACACGGAGCCTCTGAAGAGGGGCTGCTCTAGATGTGTCCAGAGCCCAAGATGGGACAGATCCTGCCTCCTGCTCTGTACCTGGCCCCACATCCTTCCAGGCAGGAATGTGGTGTGGCTCTCTGGGGGGTTGTCTCTGATTCCTACCTGGGGGAAAGGCAGTGGCAGCAGTGTGCCAGGCCATTACGGACATTATCTGAGCAGCATGAAAACAACCACCTCCACAAGCAACCATGCTCACTGCCATGGCGGGCAGCAGAGGCGCCTTGTGCCCCATGTGTTTCCCAGCAGCACCGCTGAGCTCTCCTCGCACGGCCACTGGTGTCATGTGAGCCACTGCAGCTCCCTGCCCCTTGCTCTGCTTGTGGTGAAACTGGAGCCGTAGGGCAGGCAAGGGGGCTAAGTGACTCATGCTCAGCCCCCGCACAAACAGCTCTGCGGGGAAACAGCAACAGGCTGAGCCTGTCGGCTGGGATCCCTTCCCAGGGTTGCTTAGAGACTGCAAAGCTGAACCTGGCCAGTGCGTCTTGTGCTAACGCGTCCTGGGGGGTAGAGCCAGGCTTGATCCAAGGACATAGAGACAGCTTTTCTTCTACAGGAACTTGGTTTGTATTTTAGGCTGGGATTTTCCCAGACCAGCCAAATACCATGAAATGGGCCCCTAATTCCTGTAGATGACTTCAGAAAATGTTTTCCTGAGCACTTCCAAGGTGGTGGGCTGCAGGAATATTGACACCCTGCTGGCACCAGGCAGTGCTGGCAAGGTTTTAGGGCAGAGAAACACACAGTACATTTTCCATGCAAGCACTTTCCATCACAGAAGGGCTTCTATGGTATCTTGAGAGGCAGGTATGGGCTCAAAATGGATTTTTGCCTTTCAGCGTTAGCATTCCATTTGGGTGTTCCTGTTTCCTTTTGTCCTCCTGAACCACAGCATGCATTTGAAAGAACTGCAGTTTTTCCATAGCTGATCACTCAGTAGTGTGTCACAACTTCTTTTTAAAAGAGATTGGCGAAACAAAAGGCACGTCATCTGAGAAGTTTACAGTAAGGCAGGAAAAAAGTCCAACCAGGTATCTCAATATCCTGCTTCCCTTCCCATCTGGAACCTTAAAATACTTTACCAATCCCTTGTGCCCTCTTGTGGCATAGTGCTACCAGCTCAAAAAAATCACCTCAGGTTCTAGAAATCAGAAAAATGGCTTTAAAAGCCTGAGATTGTGCAAATAGTTCAGATGTCTTTCTCTTTGCTGTCTAGTTTTTTAATACTGATGGATTGAATTTCAGGTGGTTCTTTACAAATATGAAAGCTAGAATATTACTTGAAAAGTAAATAGATCAAAGGGAGGCAAAGAGTCTTTCAGAATCACTTAGAGTCAAGAACCACAGTTTGAAGGAAAACAGTGACCACCACAATGCAATCCTGAGAGCTGTCAGCACTGATTTACTCTTCAGGAAAGGCCTTTCTCTGCCCAGCCTTCAGGAGCTCAGGGTACATCCCTGCGTGGGAGCCGCCCGCAGCCTTCTCCTGCTGCGTATCCCATTTGCCAGTGCTGGCTCGGTTACTCTGCAGCTCTTATCAAACTGGACCGAGATCTCACCTAGAAACTAAATGACTTTGTCAAAGTGCCCTTGACAGTCATGTTTCCTTACTTGCAAGCAGCAAGCCTCAGGGCTTAAAGTAAGCACAAATTTATTGGGGGGGGGGGAAGGAAGGAGAAGAGGCAGAATACATTTGGGAAAGGCAATTAATACGTTAACAATTGAACTTCCCACCTCCCTTAGCTATATTCCCTTAGCTACTGCCCAAACTCTGCCCTGTGAGCAGCAGATAGCAGCAGTCTGCCTGGACACCCCCTTCCCATGCCCTTCTGTGTTACCCATGGCAGGAGGAATGCAAAGCCTGGGCAGGGCTATCTCCAACCCTGCCTTAGGCTCTGCCGCTGAGCTGAACTGCACTGCTGTGCAGACTAGGTCCCCGCTGGAGTCCTTTGCCAACACAGTCCCCACTTCAACCCAAGGAGCTCTGTTCATCCTGGCCAAATTTCTCAGCTTTACCTATTCTCCAAAGAACTGGTGGCACCCATGACCCCAGCACAGCAGCTTCTGGATTTACCTACTGGAGGGTCCCTGTCCCTCACTCAGGAAGACCCTTGGCCTGGTAAAATGTAAGCTCTTCTCTAGTTACTATTTCACAGGCACACCAGTGTTTCTTTCACTCCAGTTTCAATATGCCTCCACCTGTCTCAGCTCAGGAGCAGAGGGAGCTGCCGCAGCCGGGCCGTTCCTGCAGCCTCGCCCCTGCACTCATGGGCAGCTGGGGCCACTTTCCTGCTGGTCCCCAAGCATGGCCGAGCATGAAGCTTCGCACCGCCACAGTTTTGGGCCAGCAGGATGAGCCAGGATCCAGCCGATGGCTGGTGCTCTGCTTGCCTACATCCTAGGGGCTGGCAGAGTGCCATGGCAGCCACCTGGGTGCAGCCGTGGCACTCCAGGGTGGCAGGGGCCATGGTTCAGGTAAGGGACCTGGGCACAGACCTGGTCTGCAGGGGGTGATTCAGCTCCGCCTGGCCATCTGGTGCTGCTGTAGGAAGAGCAGGAGGCAGAGAGGGTGCCGCAGAGCAGCCAGGGAAGCTGACAGCAGTCAACTGCCCAGAGTTGGCCAAAAGGCCACCCAGCTGGGAACACAGTGGCCTCTGGTGTCCACAACCCAGAGCTGTCAACTCTTGCAAAATACTGCAGCCTTGCAAGGGCAGGTGGCCTGTATGCTCATCCCACAGTGTCTCTGACTACCCGGGATGCAGTAAACTGCAAACATCGGCCTCGGGAACTGCTTTTTGCACACTCCAGTAACGCCTTTCTGCAGCAGCTTCTCTTGTGCTGAGCCTGAAGGGTGCCTAGGAAGGGGGCATGGAGGGAAGAGCATAGGCATCCTCAGACCTGCTTTGTACCCATTCACCTTTGACAGCAGCCCTCATACAGGAATTTTTTGATGAGCGCTCCTACGAAGAACCCCCACATGAACCTGACCTTTCTTGGCAACGTGGGCTTCTCTTATTCTGTTGCCTTGCAAGTTAGGAGATGATGCCCTTGGTGAAACTGTGAGCCATGTGACTGTGTTTCTGTGAGGCTTTTAGGAATGAATTTATGCAGCCGGAAGAGAACTGAGAACTTATGACCTTGCAGGGATTTAATAGCCTGTGACCAATGCTGCAAAACCCCAAGCACTAGCACAGCCTGTTCTGGGACACTTAATAACAGTGATCTCCACTGTGCATTAAGCTGCTTCCCTCACACAGAGGCCTGCCATTTTCACTTTGGCTGCCAGCCAGGATTCCCATTTTGAGGCTGCCTCCAGGGCTGTCTGGGTTGAGAGGGTTTTATTTCAGTGTTAGGGTTGTGTAGTAATGCCAGTCCCACCTTCATCTCTCCTTCCTTATATTTTGCTGCGGCACGGCCATGGTGGGCACTCTCCTGTGACTGAGGCCATGATGCAACGGCCATGTCGAGTGGCCTTGGACGGCTGGGGGAGACTAGCATGTGCCTGGTGCCTCACCTCCGTGAGACTGCAGAGCTCTGTGAGCAGTGTGTCCCACAGCAGGACACACGCTTTATACGTTGTGCTCTGTCAGAAACCTACAGGAACTTGCTTGACTGACTCAGCCAATTCTCACCCCCTGCCTGTAGTGTAAAAACAGTTCCCACACTGCCTCAAACAACCAGTGAATGCCCTAAAAATCCACTTCTCTCTCTGTTCCTCTCCTTTCACTAACTCTACAGCTATAACCACCTTTCAGCAGCCCTGGTCCTCTCACCAAGAGGTCACAGCTGAACTGGGATCTCCTTCCACCAACAGCCGATCCGCGACAGGCTCCAGCTCTCCCTCCTCAGCTACTGAAGGGCTAACAGCGGGCCAACGACTGCTCACGGCAATTGCTGTGATGCCACGACATGCCTTTCTGTGTCCCCTCATCCCTCTGCTGGAGAGCTGTCGCAGAGAGGAAATGGGCTTCGTGACAACTGGTGGGTGGTGGATGGTAACTGAGCACAGTCGATGCGAAGCAGTGATGAAGTCCAGCTGTGGTTCTGCTG